GACTTCATGAATGCACAGTTTGAGGAAAACGATTGACAAAGCATTTAGAGAAACAGGGGGAAACGTCCAATTTTTGTGATTGAAGAATATAATCTAAATTATCACTTTTGCTATGTGATAACATCGTATTATTTCAGTATAAAACAGTTCGTTTCACATAACCTCTATTTTAAAAAGTATTTTTTAAATTGATTTATTGAATGGTACTGGCGTCTATTGTCTTTTAATATTGTTTCAGATCTACCTTCTGGAGTCATCCATATTTCATTTGTTGCGTTGTATTTAACAACTCATGTCAAAAAGGAAATAAGAATCGCGAGAGTGATAGTTATGTTTCGAAAACTAAAGGATTCTTAATTAATAGAGTTGGAAAGAAAAAAATATTAGTAAATACTACATCGGGCATCAACAGTTTTGTCATGTGAAGAATATGACAGTTGCAACGCTACGATTGTGCATTAAATGATCAAGGCGGGTTAACACTTAAAAGCTGGTTGGTAGAAAATTACATTGGACATAATACTTTATTAATTCATTTACCCAAGTTCCACGCACACCAAACAACTGTCACAAAGCAAAAGGACAGCACAAAAATCCCACAATTATTTTAGGAAACTGCTATGAAGCAGTCTCCAAAATTAAAATATTGGTTTTAAAACGGGTTATTTCATAAAACGATGATTCAACTGACATTTCAAATTTCCAACGATATTCTCATGAAATATATTTTTAGATTTTGACGGTACATTAAAAATATTTGCTCTCCGCTGTTCTTCAAGGGCTCTTTCACTCTCGGCTATTCATCAAAGAATTAAAATTCCAGAACGAAAAAGAGTGGCAGTGCTTTAAACGGGGCTGTCGTCTGAATGAAACTGGCAGAGCATCTGCTCGCCGCCCCGCGCCGCCCCGGCCCTTAGCTCCGCAGTCTCTTTCAATCAGCATCCCAGAACGCTGAGCGGGGAGGCGCTTTGGGCACTGCGCATTTGGCGAATCACCGCCAAATGCCGCGCGCTTTCTGTCCGCCCGCTCCGCCTCCGCCCAGCTCGACCTCGCCCCACCCGCGACTCGACCCGTTCCCGCTCGTATCTCTCCGCGCCGTCACCCCATCCTGCCAGCACTTGCCCCTCGCTCCGCACCTGCTCCTTCCCTCCTCCACTTACCCGGACCCGTCATTCCCCTCCCCGCCTTCACTCCGTGCTGCTCATCCTGCCCCGTTTCTCACCCGCTCCCGCCCTGCCACATCCGCCCCGCCACATCCCGCCCGCCACATCCGCCCGCCACGTCCGCTCCCCAAACCTGCCCCCTCCCCGGAAGGCCACACCCTGCCCCACTCCTGCCACGGTCCCGCCCCCGTCACACCCCTGCCTCGCCCCGTCCCTGCCTCCCTTTGCTCCGCCTTACGCCGCCCTCACCTCGCCCCGTCCCACCTCACCTCCACCCCACGCCCCCACCCCACCCCACCCCACCCACCTCACCCTCACCTCACGCTCACCTCACCTCCTTCCACCTCACCTCTCACCTCACCTCTCACCTCACCTCTCACCTCACCTCTCACCTCACCTCTCACCTCACCTCTCACCTCACCTCTCACCTCACCTCTCACCTCACCTCACCTCACCTCACTTCCCTTCACCCCACACCTCACCTCACCTCACCTCACCTCGCCTGGCCTCGCATCGCATCGCCACGCCGCGCCCCGTCTTGCCATGCCCCGCCCCGCTCCAACCTCACCTCGTCACCGCCTCGCCCCTGCCCCCGGCTCTCTCCGCCTCCATCCCTCCCTCCTACGCCCTGTCCACCTCCACCTCCAGAGCTCCAAAGGCGCGCGGCGACAAATAACCTCGCTGTCGGCGGGACGGGGAGAAGCGGAAAGTGTAGGACGTGGTAAAGGGCGAGCAATGACCACGCTGGGACGGTCGGGCGGCTCCACGAAATGCGGTGGGCGGACTGGGGAAAGGCGGGTCGAGGGTAGATGTCCAGGCCGGGTTAGAATCAAGTGGCAGACGCCAGGAAGGGGTGGGTGCGGCGAAGCGGCTTGGAGTGGAGAGAGAGAAGAGGGGTGGGGGTTTCACGGTGAGGTTGATGTTTCAAGGCACGGGAACCGCTGTGGCCAGTATATCCGTAAGTGTAGTGCATGTTTTTTATCACGGGACATCCTGTGTTCTTTCTCCGCGGGATGTGAGATCCAGCGCTGACCCACACATCGACTTGCGGGCGATTTCCCCCTCCAGGTATCACCCCACACAGGATAAGCTCTAAGCTCCCGACCACTCTCCCGGTATATTTGAAAGTAAGCGTGTGCTAGTAAGGGGTGAGGAAAGAACAAGGAAGAGGAAGGAAATATAGCGCACGGTCCGTGACCCGTTTCGTAAGGTACTGAACCGGCATGTGCTGCTCTTGATCGAAAAAAAACAAACAAGGAAAACTACCGAACAGAACAGGTGGCCGCTCCGATTCTACTCAAGACAGCGACTGAATTTGCCTTAGCTAGTGTAGAATATCTGTCATTGTCGGGGATCGTAGGACCTGCAGAGACAGCGCCAACGGAAGCTTAAAAACGACCGAGTTACGGCCGGGCGGCTGAAGTAGGCTAATGGATGCGGAGCGAGAGAGGTCCAGGGAGGAAGTGAGGTCGAGAGGGGGCAACAGGCATCGATTGGTGTCCTCGTACAATGCAACGTAGAGATGCCGCCCACGCCACCCCCTTCGCATCGCTGACTCGAAGGATCGCTTATGCCCACGTGTTCGTTAGGACCAATCATCTGGGAACTGAAAGTGTTCCCAGAACACACGTTAATATGAATGGGTGAAAACCAGAATAGTACAAGTGATATTTTATAAATTCTGAGATAAACGTGTTTATTTCAGGCTGTATTCCAGTGGCAGTGTATTTTCGTAGTTTTAATGAATTAAAATGCCATGGTTTTAATGACGACACAAAGCAGAACAACTTTATGGTGATACTGACTTAAATAAACAGATTTCTCAAATTTATAAATTGTCACGTATACCGTTTTGGTTTTCACCTATTCATATGATCATATGACATCATATTACCAATTGCATTATTAAATCATACTATCTGCAAGTTTCAATATTCCCCAATACGGATATGTGCAAAAAGGCCTAACTTCGCCCTCTTCGAATGCCTCAGCTGTATTTTTGTTTCTTTTTGTGATATTTGTTGAGAAATATTCACTACATGAACTATAACGCTAGTACTTTGTGTACTAGACGTATGGTATGGCTAGCTCTAATAATTCACGGAATGCGACTGAGCATTTCTGTCTTAATCCGAATTTAAAGAATAAATTATGCAAATAACCATGACGTGGTGGTTTACAACGCTTCAGCGACCCACCAAGAAAACCTCAGTAGTCAGTGACAGTATTTGCTAAACACTTCTATAGAAGAGACTGCGGTTTCCAAGTCAAAGCTGTGTCCGTTTACTTTCGTGTGTGTTGTGACATGGACGGTCTAGAGTGACCTCTTATCTGAGAAGAGCATATGTGTGTTAGTGTTGTGTATGGCTTGAGATACATCGCACTGCCGTGTAGAGGGAATCCGGCAACGGCTGGAAAAAGCCCTAAGAAAAAAAAGTGCACGGTCTGACAAGTATTGGATCTAGCAAGCTCCTGCACCACGAGTCCAAAGAGCGAGGCCGGCTAAGGGGAGACACGACTCAATAGCTGTCGAAACGTCGAGTAGGTGTCACTACGCTCTACTCCTTAACCCTCTACACTGCTCCGCTTTCCTCTTGCTCGACCTCCCTCCTCACACTTACCTTTTTTTCATCGCTGCACCGTCTTACTCCTTCACCCCCTGTCGTCCTGCCCCCCTCACTCCTCCAGTCTTTCTGCTCCCTATTTCGTCTTTGCTCTACCCTCCTCCCTCCTATCTGAAACTGCTCCTCCTTTCACCCTCTTCCTTCCTCCTCTTTACTTGCTTATCTCTCCACTCGTATCTCTTCTCTCCCCTTCCCCTTCCCTTCTCCTTCCTCCCTCCTCTCCAGCACTATCTCTTTCCTCTCTCCAATCTTATCTCCTATCCCTTCCCTTCTCCTTTCTTCCTTTTATATTACTCCTATTTTCTCTCTCTCCAATCTTCTCTCCTCTCGTTTCTCTTGTGCTTCCTTCCTCTGCTCTTGCTCTTTGTCTTTCCTCTATTCTCTCTTTCTCTCTTTCTTTCCATCCTTCCACATCTCTCCCTCATCCCATCCATCGTCCAGCCACTCTCATTCCTTTTTCTCTCTGTCCTTCCTCCCCACCCGCCCTTCTCCTTCTGCCTCTATCTCAATCCTTCCCTGTCTTCCTCCTCCCATATCATCTTTGCCCGACCCTCCTCACTCCTATCTGACCGTAATCCTTTTCCCGCTCTCCTTCATCACTCTTCCCTCCCCCTTACTTGCTTATTTCTCTTTTCGTATTCCTCCTCTCTCCTCCTTCCTCTTTTCCCGATCTCTTTGTACTCTCGTCTCTTTTCTCCTCCTTTCCATCCTTCCTCCTCTCCTTTTTCCCTCGTCCCTTCCATCCTCCTGCCACTCTCCTCCTCTCTTATTCCTCCTCCTCCCACCTCTCCGCCGTCCCCCTCCCTCCCTCCGGGGTCCGCTCCCCTCGTTGGCGCTGAGAGCGTCTCGCCGCCTCGGAGCGGAATCCTCTCCAATAGCACTTCGCGCGGGATCGGACGTAAGCGACGAAGTGGAGCGCGCTCCGACGCCTGCTCCCGGGCACTTCGCGGCGCTGCCGATTTATCGCTTCTTATCTCACTTTTCCCGCGCTGATATCGACCCGCGCGGCGATCGGCAAGGTCGACTCTGAGCTGCAGGCTGCGTTCTGCATTCTACGTGCAAGAAGGGATTTTGCTATTCCGGTGACGCGGGCTTTTTCTCTTTTGTCTGTTTGGCGAGTTGGATGTCTGTGAGCTGGGGCATTTACTAACGATTTCAAGAGCACTTCAATGTGATGGGGATTCTTTTTTTATGAAGAACATCCTTCGCCAGTATGTTGTCGACCAAATACAGTAATACAGTTCTTAACAGCAAATGATAATTATGAAATTATAAATGATGGTTTTATGTTATTAAGGAAATTATAAATGACTGTTTTCATGTTATTATCGTATAGTGTTGTTTTATTTTCCGTGCGTAAAAAATGGGATAAAAAACTTTGTTGTCTTTCTTATTTTGTCATTACAATTTATATTCATGTATCATTATCTAAATAGGGTTTTGTAACTTGAAATCATCAAAGAGACAGGGTTAAAATACTTTTCATAGTAATTTAAACTATTTGTATGATAATATTAATTATTAAAACATTTTAAGACAATATAGAGTGTAAAAAGATAAGTGAATAGATATGATGTTGAATGACTTACAATATAAGCTCAGTTATTGAAAAATCTATCAAATGATACTTTTCCGAGTAGTGTCGTAAAGGAATTATATATGAATAAAGTAGAACTTTTGGTGGTTTAAATTAAATAAGAATTGATTCTGTAAGTCCATTCGAACTATAAACGGTGCTTCTCTTCAGAATAACAAAGGTAACTTTATTTGATTCATTATTCTCAACAATATGTATTAAATAATATATCTTGATACTGCTTACTTTTATATTTACGCATCTTTCGTTCATTGCAATACTGCGAACATAGAATAATATAATATGATGTATGCATATGGCAGATTTCTTTGTGTGGACCTTATTCAAACTTCTCTTGCGTTGTGATTTCAGTGTTTGACCTTGGACTGGGCGGCGTGTACAGCGGCTACGGCACCAAGTACCAGCCGGGCTCAGGCAGCTACGGCACGTACGGCTCCTACCAGCCGGGCTACGCAGGCCAAGGCGTGACTGGGTACGGCTCGTACGGCTCTTACGGCGGCTACAGCGGCGCGGGAGGCTACGGCGGGTACAGCTCCGTGGGAGGCCTGCAGCCCTGCTACAGCGGTTTCGGCACCATCACAGGCGGTTACGGCGGCTTTCGGCCCAACTACTCGCCCGTCGGCCCCAGCTACTACCCGACTTCAGGCTCTTCGTATCCGGGGACCTACTCCAGTTCGTATCCGGGGACCTACTCGAGTTCGATTCCCGGAACCTATTCCAGTTCGATTCCTGGAACTTACTCGAGTTCGATTCCTGGAACCTATTCGAGCTCGATTCCTGGAACGTACTCGAGTTCGATTCCCGGTACAACAGGCTATCCTGGCAGCCTGAGCAATTTAGGTCCGGACTATCGAGGATATAAAGGTTTCCGCGGGTACTCAAACAGCTACAGCCCGTATGGTACACGTTATGCCGCATGAAGAATTACTAGCGCCATTGGCGAACGAACTTCTCTGAAGGCCACGAGATCTTTCATAAGTTGCCACAAAATACTTTGACATCATTTGAGTATTGATCATTCCTTGCAGATGATTATATTTGATGATTTAATCTCATTAATGATTTGATATCAAACATTCACTTCCAACCTATGTGAATGAATTACCAGAATAGTTACTGCACTGTCAACAAATGTTTATGTTTATTTGTATACGCTATACATTCTCTGTAATAAAGTGATAAACGTAACAACTGCAAACAATGGGTCAAAAGGCAACACATGCTCTCAATATCTATTTGGTGTAGATTCAATTATGTAAAGCCACATCTACACTATGAACAGCTCATTTCTTCATAAAGGACCTCTTGTGAAGAACCGTGAATTGGTCCTAGTCAAGTGCATAAAGCGATATTAATTTAGCGCATTAAATATTATTTTAACTCTACCTAATAGGTACAAAAGATATCCCAAAAATATGTCAAAGTGAAATATGTGCGAGCTATATTAACATAGAGGTAATAATTTATTAATGCTTCCTTGTAACTTTTAATCTCAAAAAGATATTAACTTAAAAATTAAAACATTATTCACTAATTTCTGAAGCTTTGGATTTGGTTAAATTGTTGGAAATCTGGACAAGGTAAGCGAATAATTGATGTTATTTTGGGAATAAGGGAAAAACCGCATAATTTATAATATTGTATTGAAGGTGAAAAATTACAATAAATAAATGTACATTTTGTAGAAAAAGCATTAAATCCTTTATTTAAATACCCAAATCAGATTATCTTTCATTCACAAGCATAACACAGACATGCCAAAGAGTATTTTGAAGTATAAAAATAGTTTATTACAAACATCTCCATCATTCTCACGTTCTGAGCCGATACCTTTTCTTGAAAACTTATCGTCTGTTACATTAGGTAAAAAAATAGATTCTAGGGGCTGGCGCGTTGGGGCTGGAACCTGGCGTGTGAACAAAAGCTGCACATTGCTCGTGGAAGACACGGACACGTCCGAGAGATCAAAATATAAAGAGAATAAATTAAATCGATATATCAGCATTAGATTCAATTATTTTTACTCTTATTATATTGATTAAAAAAGATAAAATTAAAAAACGAGGCGTTTCACATCTTGAATTGCTAGACAAATTGGAAATCGGGAAGTTATCACTTCAGGCAGTCATGAAATATCCCCAAGACATTCTCATACTTCAATAAATAAAATTATATAAACTTCGAGCACATACACATTCATTCATCACTGCCCGAAGCAACGTTTAGAATAAATTAGATACAACTCCCCAACTGGTTTAGTATTTAAATTTGAGTAAGAATACTAAAGTAGTTCTTATGGCAACGATTTCCTACCGGTAGCAAACCCATGCGAATATATTTCTAAAACTGCTACGACAACAAAGCGTCGCTTCCACAGCAAACACGTGTGCGTCTTCGATCGCGCGGCGTCCGCCGGGCACCAGCAGCGGATGCCAGGCGAATGCCGCGGGGGCGGGGCGTCGCTCGGACGGCGTGGAGCGGAAGCGCAGCGCAGCCCGCTGCAGACGCCGGGCGCCAGCCTTAAGGACCCCTACCCGCGCCACAGCCAAGCGGGCTCGCCCGCGCGGAGTTGTGTTGCTGCACTCGGAACCACCAACCACCCTGGTCGCCCCAGCAATTCGGGGTTGGACACCCAACAACAGGGCCATCGATCGTGAGGACACGGGATTCCCCGGCTACGCAAATACCCACAGAGCGTATGGTCACGTGACACCGCTCTCGGCGGCCATGATCCGAAGAGGTGGATCCGGTTGATAGATGGTAGAGTCGGTAAAACGATTTTGTTTTGTACCCTCAATATTTTGTATCTCATTTTTCGTTTTTTAATTCTAATTATTGATGGTGATTCGTACTTCACATGGCAATAACCGAAATCAGATAAAAATGAATCATACTTTTGCGAATTCCCCAATTGATTACAATTTAAATATTTGTACATTAATCGTAACCTCTAATCAAGAATGTGGATTTCATACGCAATCAATTAATCTGTATCGAACAAGTCCACTTCACTTATTTATTTAAGAATAAATATCGTAAAAGAAGGATTGATCGCGAATTAATCGTACGAACCAAAAACATACGTGGAATCGACTCACAGTTCACGATGGCAGCAAGTGCGACAACACAACCTTCGCAGAGCGCGCTTGAGAGTGAGTGACAGAGAAGAGAGCGGCAGACTCGAAGAGGGGGCGTGGCAGGGCTCACTGCGCGGGCAGCAGGCGCCGCTTCACGACGGTGGCGCCAGCCTTGCGGCGTCGCGGTGGCGAGCGCACGATGGACGACACGGGCAGCTGCGCCAGGTCGAGCACGCGTCCGAAGCTGGAGAGGCGCGCAGCCGCCGGGTAGCCCGCGTTGCCACCGTTGCCGCCGCCGCCACCGCACTGGCTGCACTGATACGGCACCAAGAACGCCGACGGGAACATGGGACGCACGGCGTCCGAGTTGTTGCCCGGACTGTTGGCGCAGTACGGGTAGAAGATGACGGGGATGAAGCCGATAAAAGCGTAAGGAGGGTATTGCTGGGGAGGGGGGTTAGTGGGTGCCACGGATGTGTCGTTGGTACCGTTCTGCGGGTTCACCAAGTAGCATGGGCATTGGCCCGGGCTGGGGACAATTGGCAGAGGGTAGGGAATGACTTCCACTGGGGGAGGACAGGTCTGTCCTTGAGTCTGGCAAGCACTGCCAGGCTGACCAGGACGATTGTCGGGATATTCGGGTTGTCCGGGTTGACCAGGCTGGCCAGGTTGTCCCGGCTGGCCAGGCTGACCAGGGGATCCAGGACGCCCTGGTTGACCAGGACCTCCTGGTTGCCCAGGTTGACCTGGATATCCTGGCTCACCAGGTTGTCCAGGTTGGCCTGGTTGACCGGGGTATCCTGGTTGTCCTGGCTGCCCAGGCTGGCCTGGATATCCGGGCTGTCCGGGTTGACCCGGTTGTCCGGGTTGTCCTGGATGACCGGGTTGTCCAGGCTGCCCTGGGTATCCTGGTTGCCCAGGAACTCCTGGTTGTCCTGGTTGACCTGGGTAACCTGGTTGTCCCGGTTGAGTCGGTTGACCAGGGCCCCCTGGATGACCTGGTCGGCCGGGTTGTCCAGGCTGACCCGGATAACCGGGTTGTCTGTGCCAGGTTGACCTGGTTCTCCAGGGTATCCTGGTTGACCGGGTGTCCTGGTTGACCGGGTGTCCTGGTTGACGCGGGGTATCGCTGGTTGTCCTGGCTGGCCTGGGTATCCTGGTTGAGCCGGTTGACCGGACCACTGGTTGCCTGGCCGTCCTGGCTGACCAGGCTGACCTGGTCGCCGGGTTGTCCAGGCTGACCCGGATAACGGGTTGTCCTGGCTGCCAGGTTGACCTGGTTTCTCCAGGGTACTCCTGGTTGACCGGGTTGTCCTGGTTGACCGGGTTTCCTGGTTGACGGGGTACCTGGTGTCCTGGCTTGCTGGTATCTGGTTGAGCGCGGTTGACCGGTGACCGCCTGGTTGCCCTGGCCGTCCTGGCTGACCAGGCTGACCCTGGTCGCGCCGGGTTGTCCAGGCTGACCCGGATAACCGGTTGTCCTGGATGCCAGGTTGCCCTGGTTCTCCATGGGTATCCTGTTGACCGGTTGTCCTGGGTTGACCGGGTTGTCCTGGTTGACCGGGGTATCCTGGTTGTCCTGGCTGGCCCTGGGTATCCTGGTTTGTTCCTGGTTGAGCGGTTTGACCTGGACCGCCTGGTTGCCTGGCCGTCCTGCTGACCAGGCAGACCTGGTCGGCGGGTTGTCCAGGCTGACCCGGATAACCGGGTTGTCTGGCTGTCCAGGTTGACCTGGTTGTCCTGGAATCCTGGCTGACCGGGTTGACCTGGTTGACCAGGGTATCCTGGTTGTCCTGGTTGTCCTGGCTGTCTGGGTATCCTGGTTGGCCTGGTTGAGCGCGGTTGTCCTGGACCGCCTGGTTGCCCTGGCTGATCCTGGTTGTCCAGGCCGACTGGTCGGCCGGGTGTCCTGGTTGTCCAGGTTCACCTGGTTGTCCTGGTATCCTGGTTGACCGGGATATCCTGGTTGGCCTGGCTGCCCTGGGTATCCTGGTTGTCCCGGTTGAGCAGAGTTGACCTGGCCCACCTGGTTGCCCTGGCTGTCCTGGTTGACGCAGGTTGACCTGGTCGGCCGGGTTGTCCAGGCTGACCCGGGATAACCGGGTTGTCCTGGCTGACCAGGTTGACCTGGTTGCCCTTGGAATCCTGGTTGACGGCTGTCCTGTGGCCGACGGTTCTGGTTTCCTGTTACCCGTGGTTGAGTGCCGGACCGCCTGGTTGCTCCTGTTTCCTGGTGCGCAGGCTGACCCTGGTCGGCGGGTTGTCCTGGTGACCGGATAACGCGGTGTTGTTCCTGGTATTGTTCCGGTCTGGTGATCCTGGTTCTCGGGTTCCGGTTTGCCTGTATGGTGCCGGTTGACCTGGTTATTTGTTTCCGGGTTGTCCAAGGCTGACCTGGATAACGGGTTGTCCTGGCCTTAGACCGGTGACTGTTGGCCTGGGAATCCTGGTTGACCCGGTTGTCCCTGTGGGCCGGGGGTATACCTGGGTTTTCCTGGTTTGAAGCCGGTTTGAACCGGACCGCCGTGCCCGCGCGTCTGGTTGACCAGGCTGCTGGTCGGCTCGGTTGTCCTGGCGTACCCGATAACCGGGTTGTCTGGGCTGTCCTGGTATCCTGGTTGTCTGGTTGCAGATGGTTGACTTGCCACCTGGTCTTCGCACTGGCTTCCTGGTTAGCCAGGTACCTGGTCGGCGGTTGTCAGGGCCGAGTATTGTCCCTGGCTGACCCAGAGTTTTGTCCTGGTCCTGAATCAGTTGACCTGGTTGCCTGGATCCTGTGACCTGGGGGTATCCTGGTTGTCCTGGTTGAGCGGTGACGCGACGCGCTGGTTGCCTGCTTCCTGGTTGCACCAGGCTGTCCTGGTTTGCCGGGGTTCCTGTTGTCCTGGCTGACGCGGTAACCGGGGATGTCCTGGCTGTCCGGTTCCTGGTTGTCCACGTTGAGCTGGTTGACTGAGCCTCCGGCACCGTCCGAGTTGTCCTGGGTACCCGGTTTGCCTGGTTGTCCTGGTAATCCGTTGTCCTGGTTTGTCCGGGTTGTCCGGGTTGTCCGGGTAGTCCGGGTTGTCCTGGTTGTCCTGGTTGTCCTGGTTGTCCTGGGTATCCTGGTTGTCCAGGTTGACCTGGGTATCCTGGTTGTCCAGGTTGAGCTGGTTGCCCTGGCCCTCCAGGTTGTCCTGGTTGCCCTGGTTGACCGGGGTGTCCTGGTTTTCCAGGCTGACCAGGTTGCCCTGGTTGCCCAGGTTGTCCTGGGTATCCTGGTTGTCCGGGACGTCCTGGTTGTCCGGGTTGTCCTGGTTTTCCCGGTTGACCTGGGTACCCTGGTTGACCAGGCTGGGCTGGTTGTCCGGGGCCTCCTGGTTGTCCTGGGTGTCCAGGTTGTCCAGGTTGACCTGGATAACCTGGTCTTCCTGGTTGCCCTGGTTGTCCTGGATATGCTGGTCCTCCTGGCTGTCCTGGTTGACCTGGTCGACCTGGCTGTCCCGGTTGTCCTGGTCGTCCGGGTTGTCCTGGCTGGCCAGGGTATCCAGGGCCTCCTGGTTGTCCGGGTTGTCCTGGTTGTCCTGGGTATCCTGGTTGTCCAGGTTGACCTGGTTGCCCTGGGTATCCTGGTTG